TCACCTTGCACCACGATATTCTCGTTTTGTCATAATTCCATGTCGATAAAATTTTAATGTTGGATATTTATTAACATGATATTTTGTTGATATTGATGCTAACAAAAAAAAAGAAATTTATTTTAGGAAATTATTTTGTTTGTTTTTACATTGGGAATCACAATCAACTTTTCCAATAACAACAAGTCCTTGTTGCTTAAAATATTAATAAGAAAATATTTTATTTTTTGAAAATAAAACTTTCAATAACACACCGGATATTGTTTAGCAACTTTATCAGCAAATTGATCATAAATAGGATTAAGCATTTGACTAAATCGACACCAATTTGCATAAAAATTAATAAAAACAAGTTCATTTGAAGCTAAAATTTATTTTATTATTAAAATAAATATTTTGAAATTATTCTTACAAAGTATTGAATCAATATTACTACTTGTAATTTGTATTGCACCACTCCAAACATAACAAACCTATTTAATTTTTAGAATTTAGAATAAAAAAAACCTGTTCTTCCGATTCTTAAACTTACAAAACTAAGAAATAAATTTAATTTAAATAGATACATTGTTCTTTTGGCTTAATTGAAACTAATCTAGAAAAATAAAATAAAATAAAAAATTTATTAAGAAATTATTTAATAAAACCACGTGAGATCACACGCTACATGATTTAACCCAAAATAAACAAAGAAAAACAATTCTACTATTCGTTTATTTAACCAATCAATATCATCCAACAATTGAATTTTTTTTATTTCAATAATTAAATTATTTTTATTTCTATTAACTAATTTTTTATTGAAAAAAAAATTTTTTTTAAAAAAAATAAAATCAAAGTGCATAAATGTGTTGAATATTTTCTTAGAGGATAAATAGATTTTTCTCATGAAAGAAATCGTTAAATCATCATTTAGCTATCATGAGTGCCGAAAAGTAATATTTTGATTTATTATTAATAAAAGAAAAATTTGTTTTTAAATTAAAATTAGTATAATCCATTCAATGCAAACCGATAGTGAATGTGAAAGTGATGTTTCATCAATAGCTGATTCATCAGTAACAAATCCAAATCAATTAATAGTTAATCGTGAACATTTATTAAAACGTGTTGATTCTTTATCACAAGAAAATCGTGTTCTTAAAGTTGAACTTGAAACATACAAATTACGTTTAAAAGCTTCACAACAAGAAATCAAACAATTAAAACAGTTTGTTTATTTCAACATATATATATATTATTTCTAATCTTTTTTTCTTCTAAATTAAAGTGCAAGTGTTCATATGCAAGCTAAAGCTGAACAAGAAGAAGAATTTATTTCAAATACACTTTTAAAAAAAATTCAAGAATTAAAAAAAGAAAAAGAAACTTTAGCAAATAATTATGAACGTGAAGAAGAATTTTTAACAAATGATTTATCAAGAAAATTACAACAATTAAGAGAAGAAAAACAAACTTTAGAACAATCATTAGAACAAGAACAAGCATCACAAATTAATAAATTATTAAAAAGAATTAAACGTTTAGAAGCTGAAACGATTAATAAACAAACTACTCTAGTATTCATTCAATTTTTCTTTATTTTTTAATTCTAATTAATTTTATTTAGGAACAATTAAAAAGAGAAAAAATTGAATTAGAAAATACTTTAGAAAAAGAACAAGAATCATTAGTTAATCGATTATGGAAAAGAATGGAAAAATTAGAAACAGATAAAAGATTACTTCAACAAAAACTTGAACAACCTGATCAAACAATTAATTCAACAAATACTGTAAGAATTTTATTCAATATTTAATTATAAAACAATTAGAACAAAAAAATCGATGTGGGGATTAATATCAAACGTTTCAGAATGTTTAAAATATCTTTTATCTCACACATATTTTCATGCGTGAAAACGATAAACATTCTAAGCCTCTTTTTTAAAAAGATACATTGAGAAAAACTTATCCAAAAATTATCAAAGTTTCTTTTTTTGATTAACTTTTTTACAACTAATAATTAATTTATAGGATTGTCATCCATCATCATCAGTTGATTCAACAATTGTAAATACAAATCCAGTATCAATAATATCAACCGATGATATGTCATCTCGTTCAAATTCAGTTATATCTGCAAATATAACAAATCGTCTTTCATTACCAAATGTTGATCATATTCAACAATTAAAACGTGAAGTTGATAAACTTAAAAGAGAATTAAGTCATACACAAGAATCACATCGACAAAAAATGGAACAATTCGTACGAGAAGAACAAGATATTAGAAATGAAAATTTACGTTTACAACGAAAATTACAACTTGAAGTTTGTTAATTATTTTTTTTCTAATAAAAAAAAACAATTCTTTTAAATAAAAGGTTGATCGTCGTGAACAACTCTGTCGTCAATTAAGTGAAAGTGAATCATCACTTGAAATGGATGAAGAACGTGCATTAAATGAACGAATGAAAGCTTTTCCTAAACAACAAAGAACTAGTTCATCATCTCAACAACATTTACAACGTTCAAGAACAGTTTCAAGTCCATCATCAAATCAGAATTTAAATCTTGAACAAAATTCATCAACAACAAATGATTTTCAAAGACCACGACCTCCATCAACTAGTTTAGATAATCCTAATCAAATGGAATAGATTCATCTATTCAATTTCAAAGACGAGCCTTCTTTCTTCTTTCTTCTCTTTTTTATTGTATATATTTCTTAACATAACTATTTCTTTTGCTCTTACGGTGATACTAATGATAAAAAAAAAACAAGAGAAACCAAGCAAAAGTAAATTATTTATTTATATTTAATCAATTTTTACATAGATTCTCACGTTTGAAAAAAATAATAATAATTCGTTATTTATTATCAGGGACCTTTGGTTTTCTTCTTAAAGAAATAATTATTAAAATGAAATACTTACCTTTAATAGATCTAAAACATCTCCTTTTTTGTTTTGAGTGAATTATTGTTTTTCAAATAATTTTATTAAATATTCATCATGTATCAATCGTTTTCAATTACATTCTTTAATTTAATATATTTTCATCATTCCAATTAATATTAATTCAATAATAATAATAATAAATAAATTGGCAATAGAATTTATATATTATCTATCAACATTTTTATTAGAACAAGAATTTAATATGAATACTAACAATTATTTCTAGTCAATATTATTAACTCAACTTAATTATAGATATGTTTAATAATCATCTTTCTTTGTTGGAACATCGATATTTGTTATTATTAAAAAGTCATTTTCTATTCATATGATATATAATTATTAAATAAATGTTCTTTTTTGTCTTATGAGAAAATAAGGGTGCGGCTAAAGACAAGATAAACCTATAGTCACACACTCATTTAGTAGAGAGCATCTCAAGACAAATCTTTTGAAAAACAATTAACTCTGAACAAAGGAATACTCAATAGATTTGGTTTAAATCGTTTTTTTTCAAAATGTTTCCAGAATACTATATATTGTTTTGACGCGGCTTCATAACATATTTGTAGTTCTTCTAAATATTCGTAGAAAACTGTAAAACTTATTAGAACATGAAATTGAAGTCTATGCAATATAACTGCTGTTTTAATCTAAAAATCTAAAACTTTCATTCTATTTTCAACGTTATTATTAGTTTTATATTGGAAAAAGCATTTCATTGATATTTTGTAATATGATTCAAATATTTTAATTTCCTCATCATAATCATATATTAGTTGAGTGAAAAACGAAGAAAAAATAAAATATACTTAAAATCAAAAATCAGTAGAATTTTTCATGATAAAGGTAAACACGATTTTTACAAATGGTTTTAGTATTCCTAGTGGATCCAATATTTTTCCAATAACTTCTTTTTTTTCTTATAATATAACTTTGTACCAATGCTTCATCCTATCAACATCATCATTTCACACCTAAAAGTTGAAAAAAAAATGTATTTATTACAAAGAGACTGAATATACACATTGTACAGATGGTAATGTTACGGTATGTGAGTAGTGACACATTCATCATCTACACTCGTATGTAAAATTATAATTGCGCGATCAAAAGTCTATATAAGTTTCGTTACATTCATTCAAAGTCGGATGTAAGTATACGTCTCTCCTCTCGAAGGAATTAATAAGTATTGATATTAATGATAAAAATGATTCATAGTTTTAGCCAGATAATAATGAATAAAAGTAATCATTATAAGACATATGTCTTCCTTATCCTTGAATCAGATGACAGTGATATTATTTATTATTAATGTATATTTTTGAGTAGTTCTAATCTCTTCTTGTTGTATACGTACTTTGAAATGACATGCTTGATTTGTCCTTCTGATTCACATTTTTCTCATTTATATTCTTAATGTGGGTGTCTCTCTTCTATATGACGTAAGTTAACTCATGCTTTCTTTTGAATTTGTCCTTCGACCTTATATTTTTCTGTTATTTTGTTTACTATCATTCTTCATATTATATAACCAACGAGGAATAACACACTGAAGGTACAGTCATTAATATTCCAAGTACATCTATCTACATACGAAATCTTAAGTCTCATCTATTAGATAAGAAATCATGATAATATTCTTTGTTTTATTTGATTGTTTAAAAGTTAAATTACTCAATATTTAATTTTATTTTCTAAAAAAATTTCCCAATTACTTTGTATCTGATCTATTCATTTGATAGTTATGAATCAATATATTTAAAAAACAAGAAAGACTATTTTAATAACGAATAATTTAATAAATTTTCTAAAAATATTTATTATATAACATAGAAATGCATAAGATTTACTCAAGCGAAAAACAGGAAGTAGACAAAAAAAAATTTCTCCTCGATAACTATCACTGTAAACATGCTTATATTTTTATCAATTTCCTTCTATAAATATAGGAGGAAAAAAGAAATACATTATAATATCATTTACCTTTATCAATAATGTGGTGTATATTCTAATTTGATTCAATTTTTCTTGGTGAGTAAGAAAAAAAAATCAATCTAGTTGTTATTTAATATACTATGTACATTAGTCATCGTTAGTGACATATGTCCTTTCACTAGTTTTCAATTATTTATTAGACAAAATAAGAAATGGGTGGAAAAACATCGAAATATCAAAATGAATATATATCTACACAACAAAGAAATCCTTATGAAAATGTTACTCGTGCTTATGCCAAATGGGATCGTTATTCTGGTCTTATGAGTGATGATACATCTTGTTTTGCTACACATGAAATTGAAAATTTTAAAAAACATCAAAAAATCTCACAAAATTCTTCTGATCAACAACGAAAAGTGAATTCATCAAATGAAAAATCAATAATAAAAAAAACTGGTCAATATGATAAAAATCTTTCCAAACAAAGTCAATCGATTGAACAAATAATATTTTCAAAAAATAGAATTACAGCTCAACAATTAATCAAAGATCAATCACAACGTCGACAAAAATATAAATCAACAACTTTATTATCATCAAATGATTTATTACAAAATTCAACGGAGAAAAAAGCTTCATCAACAACTAATATTAATCAAACAAAACAAATACCAAATGATTTTCAA